TACGGGGGGCAAGATGATATTCGCTGAAATAAATTCACATATACACAATATATCAAATCCTATAAAATGTCCTATGTACAGTTCACGCTTGATGCTTCGACTGTGGTAGAACTAACTGGGGAATGTAGATTTTAGTAATCTCTCAACCGGTCCCATTAGAGACAAACAGAATCTGAAAAGGAACGTCTTACAGCCAGAAATTTGGAAATGAATTCCTTTCAGGGATTCCGGCTGAAGACACTCGGTAACATTCTTCCGTCGAAGACGGACATGCCCTGGCTCCGATCAAATTTTAAATTATTATCTTCAATAACACTTAAGCCATCAACGTGTGTTCATTTGATTAACATATGTCAGTCATTTAATTAGAAATCATGGCTAATTATATGTAAATATATTTACGGCTAAGTTAGTATAAAGATATGTGAATATTAAGTCAAGTTTCTGCCTTAGTCAAAAATTGAATCTGTACAAGGGCATGAAACCCTGTTAATAATTCCTTCAACTTCTGCTGTTAGTGAGCATATGTCTAAGCGGCATCAGCAACTCCTGTTCACCCAAATTAAATCTGTCAAAATAGGCTCTAGATTAGTCCCTATTCTACCTGGGCTAAGTCCCTTGAAACAACGACTGTTAAGCTGGAACAAACATTAAAAAAATTTGTACGTTATTTCCACAGAGGAATTACCACCCGTTTCATTAATTCCCTGTCCTATTTTGGAAGAAGAAATAGAATTACCTCCGGAACCAATCACATCTATAAACATAACCTAAAATTCTACGCACCTCCACTCTCTCATAGAAACTTCTAACGGTACAGTTAAAAGAGGCTTCATACAAGCAGGGGCGTTTAAAAGTTAATCGAGCCTTTGGAAATATGGCGAAGTTCACATGTTTTGGCATGACAGTAACAAATTCAAGTTCGATTCTTGACGAAATAAAGGGCAGATTGAATTCGAGTACTGCTTGCTACCATTCATTGGGAAACTCTCTTCTTCACTGCTGAATAAGATGTAAATATAAAATGCTATAGATGTCATAATTTTATATGGGAATAAAATTTGTTTAGGGCATGAGGCAGCGTGGTTGGTTGAGACATTATGCTGCAAGCTGGAAGGTCTCGAGTTCGAGTCCCGATAAGGTGGATTTTTTTTTAATTTACTTAATCCTTCCAGCAGCACTATGGCTCACCCTTCATGCATTCATTCATGCCTAAACCAGTGATTCTTTTAGTCTAATACAATATACTGAAATTGGTATCAGAAATTTTACCCTCGGCTTTATAGCCCACGAGAGCTGTGACCCAAAACTTTTAACTCAAGATTCTTAACTCATTTGTCGCTTCTCTCTCTCTTTTTCCGTCTCTGTGGCTCTACAGCCCTTCTGGCCTTAACCGCTCTTTCAGTTCCGTAATCCTATATACAGTCAGAAGGACTCCTTGGATGGGGGATCAACCCGTCGCAAGGCCGCTACCTAGACACACAACAATACAAATACAGAATAAACACAAACAGAAATCCACGTCTCGAATGGGATTCGAACACACGATCACAGTGTTCGAGCAGAGGAAGACGGTTGATGCCTTAGACCTCAAGGCCACTGTAATTGACCATGGGACGTTCCACGAATACAATTTTTCACCAAGAGTGGTAGGTTATGTGATGCACTCTTCGGCATTGCAACGGGCCCGCATGTGAGGAATTGTTGTGATCGTGAAACATCGCTGTATACAGCTCACGGAACTGACATATTATCACCCCCTGATCACGAAAAATGGGGTTGTCTCTTTCCCTCAAGGAAGCATAGCTGTGCATCTCGGCAGCACCAGGACCGTAGGATGAATTTCACTCACAGTCGATATTTAAGAGCATAGCTATCATAAGTCGCTACCCAGTGACTATGAGTAGTCTAGCTAAAGAAACATGGACTTTGGAGATTGGTTCCAGAGCGCAAAATTGCGATTGTATCGAAAGAGGCGCTTGCGATATTAATTACGTGCGGTAACAAGTGAAGGCCACCTTCAGAATAAAGCTACACAGCTGATAACTTCAATACACATCGTAATTACGGTACGCGCAAATTTAATCAAATATACAGTTAACGTAGTCTCTGACATTAAGGGAGGAACACAGACTGAGGGTGTTTGAGAACAGGGTGCTGGGGTGAATATTTGGACCGAAGAGGGATGAAGTGACAGGAGGTTGGAGAAAACCGCATAATGAGGAGCTTCATAACTTGTACTCTTCTCCAAGTATAATTAGAATGATCAAGTCAAGGAGGCAGGGCATGTAGCGCGAATGGTGGAGACGAGGAATGCATATAGGATATTGCTGGAAAAGCCAGAAAGAGTTCACTGGGAAGACCAAGGCGTAGGTGGGCGGACAATATTAAAATGGATCTTAGAGAGATCGGATGAGATGTTATAGATTTGATAGGGACCAGTGGAGGGCTCTTCTGAACACGGAAATGAACCTTCGGGTTCCATAAAATCCTGGGAAATTATTGAGTAGCTGCAGAATTGGCGGCTCCTCCATGAGTAAGTAATACAGTCAACTTACAAGGGAGCAGCTCTTAACATGTAATGATTACAATAAAGGAAAGAGGTTCTCGCATTTGTATTTATGCAAGAATTATCCATCTACTAACAAGTGGGAATCAATACACGGCTCATGAATAGGGTGTTCATAGCAAGCCGATGCATTTAACGTTAGTATTGACATATCATGGACCACCTCTGTGGTCTAGTGGTCAGAGTTTCTGCCTACAGATCCAGAGATCCTGGTTCCATTCCCGGCTTTAAAAGATTTTCTGAGAAGTAGTGAGTCTGGAACGGGGTCTACACAGCCTCGTGAGGCTAACTGAGGAACTACTTCAATGGAAAAGTAGCGGCTCCGGTCTAGAGAACCGAAATTAACGGCCGTGGGGATTCGTTGCGCTGACGACGCGACACCCTCTATCCGCTAAAGTTGGCACTAACTTCGCCGACAAGCGGCGGTCGTTCGGTCGCTATAGTTCGCTTGCGGACTACAGGCCACGGAGTTTACTGTTTGACATTTCATGATGGTAATACATTCATATTCATCTGTGCTTTATTAAAAAAACTTAATCGAAAATAACACACGCAGCCGTGCCAACACGTGTGAAGCAGATAGTTAAAGAGTGGAGTTCCTTGGTCCGGGGAACAGGTAATAAAAATGAGTAGGGACGTTTCTTCCGGGCGCAACGATTTCACTTTTGCCAGAGTATTTTTAATGCAATTCTGGGAAGAGGTTTGAAAAGTTCTACTTGCGTCCTGAGAGGGGAGAATTGAAAACGAAATTACACAAACTGATAGGTTTGGCTTTTGTTACACCAAATGAAGTTCCCACACCTTTCGACCGCCTTTAAGAAGAGCTGCCCGAAGATCTGCTTGACGTGGCAGAACTGCAAGAGGCAGAAGGTGTGGCCCATCACACTCCCTCCCACACAGCACACAGATGAAACTCTATATTTTACTCTTTATTCTGGGTCACTCTGAAGCCGAGTTTCTTCCTTAAAACTGAATTTATTATAATTTTCGAAACAGCACAACATTTGTAAAATCCTGATAAATATAAATTGAGAGAAATTTAAAGTATGATGATTTTAAAGGGACATGCGGCAGCGTAGTTGAAGCATTATGCTACAAGCCGGAAGGTCGTGAGTTCGATTCCCGATGAGGTCATTGAATTTTTCTCACTGACTTAATCCTTCCAGCCACATTATGACCCTACGGTTGACTCAGTCTCTAACAAAATTGAGTACCAGATATATTCCTGGGGTTAAAGGGTAAGGTTGACCTCACCGCCATCTGTGAGCTGATTCTATAGAAAATGTAGGAACCTCGAACTCTCATAACCCTATTAGCCTTCACGGCCTGTTACAGGGGTAACTTTACTTTTTCTTAAGATTGTTTTAAAATTTTAAAGGTGGAAAAGCTGATCTTTCCACACAGCACACACATTTAAGAATTCATGGCGCTGAAATCTCTACTAAGCCTTAGAGGGTGTGGGCCTTGATATGACAGAAGGTGAATTCATGCGCTGGTATTAATCTTCTTCAGTTTCTACAGGATACTGGAGAATGTTAAAGTTACTTCATGTTTCCAACCAGCATGGCATTAATAATCCACTGAGGATATATTTAACGCGCTACTCAGACTATGCATGTCTATCGTAATGTAATTACCCGAGACAAAGGGCGGGTCTTGGAACACAGAGAAACTGGGGGTAACTTCTAGAGAGCGCAGAGTGTGCAGTTACTCAACAGGTAACAGAGTGCCAACACATGATCACGTGACCAATTACGTGCCCTGTGTGCGCCTATACCGCAGAAGACTACCTCTGCAAATCGCATTATCATAAAACCTCCTTCTTCTTAAATATATTCAATAAGGTCGGAAGTGAAGTATGAGTCAAGGAGGATGAGGTGGGCAGGGCATGTAGCACGAATGGGGGAGACGAGTAATGCATATAGGATACTAGTGGGAAAGCCAGAAATAAAGAGAGACCATTGGCAAGACAAAGACGTAGGTGGGTGGACAATATTAAAATGAATCTTAGAGAAATAGGATGGAATGGATTGGATTGATCTGGCTCAGGATAGGGACAAGTGGAGGGCTCTTGTGTACACGGTAATGAACCTTCTGGTTTCATAAAATGCTGAGAAATTCTTGAGTAGCTGCAGAATTTCCTCAGCTCCATGAGTAAGTAAAACATCAACTGCTTCAGAGAAGAGAGAGGTATTCCTCTATTCCACAGCATCCTAACAAACGGCACCGGGGAACTTCCTAGGGAGTAAAGCGGTAGGAGCGTGATGCTGAACACTATTATCGATCTAGTTCAAAGATTCGGCTCTATACCTCCACTTCCCTACATTTTTTCAAGATGTGGTTCTTAATTAATCAGAGGGAAACTTTACATTGTACAGAGAACTAGACCGAAACCTCTGGATTCTCGTTCGGAATGGAAATTGCTTCTTACCTTCTGGAGCAAACAGTCCTGCAGCGCTCCATCCAGACGATCCGCAATTCCATTATCTACATTTTTCAAAACTCCCTTCCCTGGGGTCCTCTTCCAGAGAAGATGACATGCGACAGGCTGTACGAAGCGACTCTCTGTCTGGGAGACGCGTCCAGCAGAGAAGTGACAAGCGCTCCATGTCACTCCCAAAAGTAAGACGTTGCATACTGGTATCTGGGGCAGCCAGAACAAGGATATTCCATTTATCTGCAAACCAAAGATACGTCCAGTTATCCACATGTGTGTGTGCTTTAGGAATTCTAAAATTCCTGCACGAAAGAGATGCCCCTTATATGAATATGTCACAGGCTGTTGCAAAAGTTGTTCTTGTGAAGTTTCTGTTATGTTAATTAGCATATAAAACTGCGCGGAACTTACGCAATTCGAGAGATAAGACGTAACCTTATCACGTATAGTTTCCACTTCAATATTCACTGTCGTCAGACACTCAATACAATTTATCCTGTGCGCAATATAAAGTTCTAAATGCTGTAAATGTCATGATTATTGTCTTGTGGATTGTGATCCTTCACATCAGTCTGTGTTTCGTACTGGACGCTGCAGTCTCCTACATTATTACGAACGCTTCGGAGCTAACGTGCTGCTTACGCATTTGAAGTAACATAATTCTTCTGTCCTAAAGAAGTAAGAAGGACTTCATGAGAAAGGTATCGATCTGCATATGGCCTGAGTTCCTAAGAGCACATTTAAAGTAGCAACATATAAACGCCAGAGGATGTGGTCCTACAGAATCTTCGAGAAGCCGAAGCCAACGTCATCTGAGAGCGATACCTTCCTCCTACTGATTTTCTTAGAGCGCGAAATCGGAACATCGCTCTTTCCGTTGAAAGGAATCAGGGTTTGTTCTTAACGAGCGTTTTTGAATAAATTGAGGACTTCAGATTCTTCGAGAAGAACAAAACCTTCTGAAGATATAACGGGCAAACTTTCCAGACATCACACTCCATAAATCGACTGAGCTCTAACTGCGCAAAGAGACGGGATAGTGCAGTCGGTGTAGCGACTGGCTACGGGCTGCATGACCGAAGAGTCTGAGTTCGATTCCCTGTAGCATCAAGAACTTTCATTTCTCCATTTTATCTAGACAGACTCTGGGGCCTACCCTGCCTCATATCCAAAGGTTACCGGGGGATCTTTCGCCGGGGGTAAAGCGGCAGTGGCGTGAAGCGTGAAAACGTGGGTCTATACACCCACTCCCAATACGTCTTTATGAAATAGTTATTAATTAGTTAAGCACAGCGACAACTTTACCTTTAACTGTACCATAAGATTTACTGTTGTGGTTATGAAGCCAACAGACCTGACGTATTTTCAAACTCAGCCTTCTTAATATCAAGTCAAAACAGAATTACAGTCGGACTTCTAACATTCGGTCAAAAAGTTGTTTGACCTGATCAATTATTCTTACTTTTCCAACTGACTTCATTATTCTAATCGAATGCCAATTCTATGATGAAGCACGCTGAGACACATCCTTGAAGTTAACAGCAGTAGAGTCCAGCGTTCTGGCCTTAATGACGGCCACTCAATGTATGTTTAGATATTCCACGAAAGCAGCAGTATCTGTCATATACTTTACTAAGGCCGATCACAGTGGCCTAAGGCATGAACGGTATTCGCCCGATCAAACACTGGGATCGTGGGTTCTAAACCGACTCGAGGCATGGATGTTTGTTTGCGTTTATTCTGTGTGTAGGTAGTGACCGTAGTGGCCTTGCCACAGGCTGATTGCCCGTCCAAGGAGTCCTACCGACTGAGTATGGAACTAAGAAACCGAAAAATCGGCCAAGGTCCAACTAAGAACTGTAGAGCCAGAGACAGATTACTTACATTAATGGAAGACGTCGTACCGGTAAAGCATGTTTCAACATTTGGGCCCTTAATGTGACTTCCGTCATCTTCCCGAAGACATCTGAGATACGCTTCTATTCATGCAGATGGTCTCTACATATTACAAAAATTTAATTAAAATTTTTACAGTCGTTTTCAAGAAAATCGGAATTTTGTTTTATGTTGCTCCGTGAATGGCAAATATCTTTGGAGATAGAATATTGATAATCACTGCGCATGGACTAGTGATGGGGAAAGTCTTAAATGTCGAATGCAAATAAAGTCGTACCGAACGTTCGAGCTCTTGTGAGCAGCACATCCAAACATAGAGACGGACAGGCGGCATTCCAAGAGTCACTTCTTACGCTGACGGCTGGAAACGCATAAATCAGTCAAGACCCGTATCTTAAGATTTTCACAATCTCAGTAACTTGGCATACATATTCAAAATAAGCGAGAAAGTAAAAATAAACGTCAAGGATTCTTGTCAGAACTGCCCGTTTATCATTGTAGGAATGCTTATCACACGTTAATGTAACACAACTGAGAGAACAGAGGTAACAAAATATAAAAATATACCGTCGTTAAACAATTATCTTCAATAATTTTCTTGTGTTCAATAAAAATGAGTACAGTTGGTTTATTCAAATATGAGCGCTCTATATATGTACTCTTGATGAATATATCACAAATGGATCAGAGAGACAATGCAGGACACCAGCACTGAACTGACGCCTTCAGTGGGTAAAGCAAGGTCGGAGTAAAACATTCGAAAAGTAAGAGGGAAGACAGATCACAAATGGAAGTAAATCAGCTGTAATGGACGTAATAGATTTTCTAAGCGTATTTCTAGGTAAGAGCACAGTCCATCTTCATGACAGTCTAGGTAGCAGACGCGCATGCGTAAGTAAAGGGGCTGATTTCAGTAGTCAAAATGGGATCGATGCTTGAGGTGTGTCCTACCGAAGAGCAGCGTTCTGTTATGCGTTTTTGGCGAGCAAAATCCTCAATGCGAAGGATATTCATAAATAAATGTTTCCTGTTTATGGTGAGAAAGCGGTTCACATCTACGTTAACAAAAGTTGAAAATTTTCTCTCATGACGAAGAAGTTGAAACGGAGGTGCGGAAGTGGGTGAGACAGCAGTCAAAAGACTTCTATACTGCGGGTTTAGACGCACTGGTAAAGCTGTGGGGCAAGTGTATCAGTGTTGGTGGAGGAAATGTCAAGGAATAAATGTTCTAAGTTCAAGCATCACATGTTTAACATTTTATTTCCATTTGCGACCTACATACTGATTCTCCTTAATATTCTTTTTAGGAAATTTACAATTAAATCTCTTCTTGGTTAAAATTTCCAACGTCCTGTACTCTTACAAAAGTGTGGAGATGATTGACTCTCTCTATTCTGTGCCCGGGGAAGCTCCATATAACAAACCCACGGGAATATATGTAGTTCATAAATTAACCTGATGTAGGAAGCCCCAAGTTAAATAATTACTTGTCTGTTGTTATTTTAGGAAACATTCCTCTAGTTCTGTGGGAAGATGGCAACATACTTAGTATACAAACAATAAAACACAACTCCGTGACTTGAGTCTGCAAGCGAACTATACCGACCGAGCGACCGCCGCTTATCGGCGAAGTTAGTGTCTACTTTAGCTGACAGATGGTGTCACGTGGTCAGCGCAACGAATTCCCACGGCCGTTAATCTCGGTGTTCTAGACCGCAGCCACTATTCCCATGAAATAGCTATTCATTTATCCTCACGAGGCCCAGTGAACCCCGTTCCAGACCCACTATTTCTCAGAAAATATGGTAGCAGCGGGAATCGAACCTGGAACCTCTGACCACTAGACCACAGAGGCCGTCAACACATACATAGTATACATTACATTAAGGAAACAGCCTAAAGTTGCTTTAAACACTGGAATCCGGCAGACGATTATCCTTCTGCTGAACCTGCCAATCATTACATAAACTGAGACCAGAATTAACGATAATTATATGAAAGACAAATAGTGCATATCAACGAAGTTATTCCGTTTTGGGAACCTTTAAGGCGGAAGAGATACATTCATATTGGAAACTGTTTTTGGTTACACTCATAAGAAATAAAGATAAATATGTCGACTATCGAGGAGACAAAATCCCATACGGGCGTCATAAAACTGAAGCTTTTTGCTGAAATCTTTGCTGTGGACTGAGTCCCTGCTCGTATATCAGCTTAGGAAGTGGACCAGAGCAATACAAAAGAAAGATACTTACAAGGTTTTATCACCGAAATGCCCGCCAAGGGATGACACTCTTGCAGTTTTCTTCGTGTTTTATTTGACCTTTTACGTTCCTGCCCCCACTCTCTTCGCTATATATGTTCAGCAGGTAAAAGTAGAGACTTATTCTATGAAATAAGGTGCCCACACGCGTGCGCGAACATGTTCTCTTCGCTTCTTGTATTGTAAAGTGTATGTATATATATATATATATATATATATATATATATGGTATTTTCATGTCCTTATATCCACTGGTCAACAACATTTTCCAATTAGCTGTGTAACGGAATTTCATTGCTGTCTTAGCAAGTCAGAGTAGCTCAGATTACATAGTGACTGGATGCGGGCGATATGTCCGGATATCGATTTTCGGCACGGACGGAGTTCCTCCAGTGTGTTTGTGAATTTTGCCTAGCGTCCAATCCAAAGGGCATTAGTGTCTCTTCCCCTGTGATAAGGCGGGAGGAACGTGAAGTTGACCGTACACTTCCACGTAGTGCCCAGATTAAGAATTTGACTTCTATATCCACTTCTTAATATTGTGACGGATTTTCTCAAACCATTGCTAGGCAACGACTCGATAAACACCGTGCGACCGACTTGTACGCAACAATAGGAGTGTTTTCTATTTCTAGGCAGCAGCCAGCGCCAATGGACTGGCAAAGTAGCGATAACCTGGTAAATCCAAAAGAAGCCTTTTCTTACCTAACCTTTGGTACTATGACTACCATACTCATTAAACAGGAGTGTGTTTCCGATATGGCCTGAATGGGTGCCAAAACCTGCAATAAGAACATGTCTACCTGCTCATTTTACGCATGGTTACAATAAGCAGGCATGAAAGATCGGGAGAAAATGTTTTGATCTTATTTTCTAACAACTTTAAGCCATAGACGACCGATCTGTATGGTTTTGTCACATGATCCAAAATCTGGAACGCATTTTCCTTTAGTTCATGGAAAAGTTTCTGGGAACTGACGAGTTTTCTCAGCATCACTTCTTGAGTTGGAGCGCCGTGTCCAAATTGCACCTGTCCAGAGAGAACAAGAATATCGAACCGAAGTCTCGAAAGGCTGAGCAG